CCACTGATCTAGAAGTAAGTGTCATATCACCATTTTTACATGACTGCTGTTTAGGAAATCGGGTGTCAAGCAGATTTTTAGGAAGCTAACTCAGGTAACTCTGATATGGAAACCCGCTCATATGTAACTAGATAGAGGTTGGAATAGGCCCACAGAGGAAAGGACAAACTGCACGAATACCATTTTATTCTATGTAATGGCGTACTGTCTACCCACGTTTTCCGATAAGCTCCCTGTTTATGGATGGGAAGAGATAATGAGGTATAGAGGTTGAAAACATAACAAATGCAATGTACATCAAAACGAAAAACACGGCTGTTGTGTTGGCTGCAAACCGCTAGCCTTTATAATCAAGGCTTTCGAAATTGACAAAGGCACAAACACGTGCAAGGTGTTATTGAAGCGGTGAATGAATTTTGGAGCATGGATTCTTACGGAGAGGTGTAGTGCTCGTGCCTTTTAAATGTTAGATGAAGAAGTCATTTCATCGGCACTATAACAATGAGGTGGAGAGGGGTATTATTCATGCAGAAAACCTAAAGCAAGGCATGGTTTGCCTGATCCGATTCTATTGGAGAAGCTGTATGCGGTTCTCTCGATTTATTGCAAGCGTGTATTTCCCTTTAAAGGACGAATTCACGATGAAAAAGCAACCCATTTCAAATTAACCTAGGGATGGTGAGTGGTACACGAAAGAAGGAAGAACCATGAGAAACGGCCCAGAACCCGAGAAATGGGACCCCTTCCTTGCCCGTTGATTTGAGCATTGATGCGACACTACGCCTCCTGCTATCTAATCAATCGCCACGTATAGACCTACGGCGAGCGATCAGCTGGTCGGTGGGCGTGCACTGGCCCACCGCCCCCAAGATTGAGCCTTATTAGGTCGCCGAGAGTCAACTACTTCGGTGCCAATTGCGCTTCAGTCCGCACCCTCAGGAGGTCCGCGGGTCCCTCAACTAGCTTCGAAATACTTCTTCGACCTTTCATTCTAATCGTGAATTCGTCCTTTAAAAGGCAGCGATTACGATAGATCTCTGAAAGGGGTTTAGAGGAGACGTGGGGGTGCTCAATGATACGCCAATGGCGAAAAAAGCAGCGAGAAATCCGTCAGGAAATACGCAAAGCAGCACCCCTTTGATTGCCCATTTCATTTTCGACTATGAATATTAGCCTCCAAAGAAGAGTTGTTTGGACGTGATACCTGACAAGCTCATCATGCCAACAGCATAGTGTTTTGAACGATATTTGAAGTTCAACATAGGGTAAGTGCACGAAATGCGTTAGTTTCAAAGTGGTTTCTGAATCCTTCGCCAAATGATTACCCACTCCGGAGCTCTTCCATCTCTCTCAGACTTGGGCCAAAATGTTCATCACCCTCAATTTTAACTTTGGCTCCCTGTACCGAAATCCCTTAACCACCCTTACGTAGTACAACGAACACATTGTCCAAGCTCAGAGTAATTCGATATTTCAAGAAGCCGGCGCCTAGTCAGCTGTAAGTCTACAAATGACTAAAGAACTGTGTGGACAGTGGACTTCACCGCTCACGGTAGAAGCGCAGTCAGTTGAAGACTACAAGTCGGTGTAAATAAAACTATTCGAAAAAAAAGTGTTCCGCCCCGTAATTTTATGAAGCGCAAGATTACTAACACACTTAAATTTACGTCCGGTAATTTTGGTGCAAAAAGCGAAGTTAAGGGAATAATAGGAACGATAAACGGTAGGATAATTCGAATTCGGTGCGAAATTGGGCAATCGGTTCCAGTGTAAAGTTCAGTCCGATCAGTCGATTGCGACCTACATCCCCCTATACCTCTGTGATCGAATTGATTCATGTAGGCCGAGCTCTACAGACATACTCACCTTTGAAAAGGGATCACCTCACGATGGGGAGCAAGTCACTTTCCCAGAGTTAGTAACCGGAAAATTTATGTCTGGAATGTACACACTTCCTAGCTCTCGTCCAGTTGAATTTGGTGCAAAGGGCTTCAGGCAGTTGTAACCACTTCGAGTACTTTTTAGTGGAGGTTTAGAAGAGTCAGAGTTAGTTCTTTTCAAACCAAATTGGTTTGATACCCCGGGGCACCTCCTTTTGCGAAAACAGGGTTTACTGTGGCATGAACCATGGTAAAGTACATGGAGCTTATCGGAAAATGTGGGTATACAGTATGCTATTACATAGGATAAGTGATATTCGTGCAGTACTCCTTACAGTTTGGTGGCCTCTTCTCTTCCATGAGCTTGGCCATGAACTATTCGGAACTTTTCTTCCAACTACATCGCCTAATTCTCACATAAATGGGAAGAAAGAATGAGGAGAGGATGAAGCGGTGGGTGGCCTTCAGTATCCGTCTCATCGGATGCGCCACGCGTTGAATCGCTGAAATGGTAGTAGTTTTGAGCTGTTTGCTAGGTTTGACAAGGGGGCGGTGAGGGATTTGTTGATGTATCTGTCCGAGCTAGCTCCGATCCCGGAAATATGGAGGGTTTAATTGATGTGGGCGAAGTTAGATCCGGAATAACCTGATTTTCGGGCTCTGCACTAGAGAGTGGGACCACTTACAGGTGTACAAGCGTTTGTCCTCTGAACAGAAGTATCACTTATTCTGGTGGTACTTCGAATTAGAGCAAAATCGATCGTGTTAGCCTGGTACGAACCTCTACCTGGCGCTCTCCGACGTTGTACTGATCCATCACATCACTTTGGCCACGTGCTGCTTCCCCATTTACAGGCCCATTTTTTAGGAACACAAGAGCAGGATTCAAATCTGGGCTGGGTCAATTTGCGCATAACTCAGCGCCTTCATTATGGCTTTTTGCATGGTGAACTACTTATTGAGAGAGACCGCAATCAACAGAAGAAAAAGATCAGATAGATTGGCTAACTTTTTTTTATCAAATCAAAGTTACAGGCTCTTTGCACCATTACAGAGGGAATAATTACTTGGAGACTTGGCATAATCATAAATTTAGTTTACTCAGCTATGACTAACCAAATGAGAACTGCAGAG